GAATTTATTACTCAATTTCTATTGATGATATGGATGATGCCTAAAATTTTCCCCTACTTCTAGAAGGTTTTGTAAATCATATATCTTTATTAGGGCACACTTTTTTAGGTCTTACAAAATGTAGTTTTCAAATAACAAATATGACCCTAACCTATTTGATCTCATTCCATCTATGTTTTGCATTTGTTTGTTTGTAATTAATTATGATTTGCATTTTTACTTAATACAAAGTAGTATTTTTTTTTCTCATTTGCAGTTACAAATAAAAATACAAATACATTTTGCATCTAAAAAAACTGATGCAAAATTTATACCACCATCTTCCTACCTCAATTATCTCACATATAAAGTAGAGACAACCTCATCTTACTTCCAGATTCCAACCTCACTCCCAAACTTATAACCCTTCCTCTTGACTCCATTCTCTTGCATATAAGTTTTTGTTTAGACCTGATGAAATTTGGAGGAGTCGATCAGGTCATAGCACGATTGTATCTGAAAGCATGATTAGCTAGCTCGTGGGCTAAGCAGTTACAAGAGCGAGATGTATGAATAAAGTTGGTTGACACAAAGCAAGAAGCAAGATGCCTACATTCTAGAATGGTAGAATGTACTCTCCAAGGAGGGTCTACACCCGAAGAGAGAATGTCAATAATGTGCTTTGCATCACTTTTGATGATGAGAGCGTCAAAGCCCAAAGCAATTGCACACCTCAAACCTTCCAAAATTGATAAGGCTTCAGCTTCTACAGGGGAAGAACAATGGAGGGGGGCACATCTTCCTAGAATGAAATCACCATTGTGATCTCTAATAACAATTCCTAATGCCAAGTGAGAAACACTCCATGCCCCATTTGAATTAATTTTAAGGACTCCAGTAGGAGGTTTGATCCACCTCTAAAACAACTGAGGACCCGTGCTGATTTCAGAGTGAACACTATTAGTGTTTGAAACTGAATTAGTAGCTCTGGAAAGTAAGGCACAATGAGCTTCAATGGCTGCAAGCGTCTGAAATGGATTAAATAGGTGTTGTTCAAAAATCACTTTGTTTCTATGCTTCCAAATGAACCACATTACAATTACCCCTTGAGCAAACATTGGAAAGCAAGAATATTAATCCCTTATTTTGTCAATATGTTTCCAATACTGTAGTCAATAACATAAATTACTGTTCTGAATATTCTTAGTCCGGATACCTAAGGAGGCAAACCAGATAGGCTGAATGGCTGGATAGTGAAAAAAGAGGTGATCCATAGTTTCGTCCAAATCTCTACACAAGCAGCAAGTTGCTTCAATCTTAGTTGATCTTTTTGCCAGCTCTGCATTAACTGAAAGGGCTCCCTTACAACATTTCCATAGGAACATTTTGACACAGGGAATTAAAGTTTTCATTTTCTATAATTCTTTCCAGCTAAGATTTTCACAAACCCAGGAAGCATGAGAAGATTCTGAAACATCTTGACACAACAATTTATATCCATAGTTGTAGGAGTACCGTCCATGGGGAGTTAAATACCAAATCAGCTTGTCTTTAGTTAAAGGATCCACCTGAGGGATAACAATCTTTGTAATCTGGTTAATAATTTTCTCATCAAAGAACAAATTTAAGAATTGGATGTTCCACGTCCGAGAATTCTAATTAAAGAGCATGGCCACTTTACAGCAAACAAGTTCCTAGTTAGTTGGCTTTTCAATTAGCCCCTTAGGAATCCACGGATCCTTGAAATATATACTTCCCAACTGTTTGAAATTAACCATCTACAACCCTTAATGAGATCTTCCCCAACAATGAGTGTGAATTCTTATGAATTTGTTCCCTAGAAATTTAAAGAGGTAAAATACTATTTTTTAAGTATTTTAATCCATAAAGAATTAGTTTCTGTGAGGAAACGCCAAGCCAATTTAAGTAAGAGAGCTCTGCTCATCAAACCTGGGTCTCTAAAGCCAAGACCCCCTTTCTCCAAAGGGAATAAAAAGGACTTCTACGCATTCAGATAGATGGGTATTTCCTTAGATGCCTTCCCCCACCAAAAATCACGACAAATTGAGCTTAACTCTTTGCAGATGGTGGATGGAAGAGCATAAGATGCCATGTGGTAAAGGGGGAGGGAAGTTAGAGTAGGTTTTATGAAAGCAGTTCTACCAATATGAGAGAGGATTCCTGATTTCCAATTCTTAAGCTTTGACCTTGTTTTATCTACATAAAATCTCCTGGTTGAGTGTTTCATGGAAGTATTAAGAAGAGACCCACCAAGGTACATATTCTCCAACATCATCTCTTTTACGCCCATCATTTTCATGATTTTAGATCTTGATAAAAGAGGTGTGCATTTACTAAAGGAGATCGAAGACTTATCATAGTTCACAAGAACAAAACAGATCCAGTATCAATCTCAGTTTTTAAGCCTCCAAAGTGGCTGCTTTCCCAAAAATCAGTAAATGATCTACAAAAAGAAGATGCTTTAGCTTGAAATTGAATCTTCCAAATTTAAATCCTTTTAGCTCACAGCATGGAGAGCATCAGAGAGCATTATGGAAATCAAGGTTTGCCTATTTGCACTCCCATGCATTTACTCCAAGACATTGCAAATATATGCTCAACAGTTTGTCACTTCAACAAGTGACTAGGTCCCTCATTTATAGTTTGGTAGGGTGGCATTTCGTTCATTTGTGGAACAACCATTATTTAAGGGTACTTGGGGTAACATCAAAATAGAGATTGTCACGACTCTAAACAGTATACAATGTGTGATGGGTGAGGTGGTGATTTTACATTTTTTTGCTTGTCATGCATCCCAATAGAACATCCGTGAGGTTGAGGTAAAGTTTTAGACATTATCACTAAAAGTAAGGGCAGGCTTTAGATGATTCTTTCCACCCCTAGCCCTGAAAAAATAAAGACTGCATTTGGAAGCAGTATAAAACCTCATCGATGGAGTTTCATACTGAATCGTACAAAGGTTCTGACCATTGAGCTTCGAAAAATATGATATTTTATATTAATAAAATTGATGTAAAACTTTACTTTAGATGAGGCTTTATTATGATGTAAAATTCTACTTCATCCAAATACCGATAAATCTAAACCCGGAGTAAAGTTTTACATGAATCTTAATTTACGCTCCATCCAAATGCCAACAAAACCAAACCGGCATAAACTTTTACATCGCCTTCCAAATGCAGCTAAAAGTAAAAGGTTGAATTTGTTGAATTGGCCAGTAAGTGGAATCGAGTCAGATTCAATTCCCATATTATTAAAAAGAATGGAAAAAAAGCTCAATTCCAAGGATACCTGAAACTCTGTCATTTCAGAGTTTTGCCAATAATGACTGATGCAATAAAAGGCAAAGCAAATCAGAATGAAAGAGTGCAAGTTGATAATTTCTGGGCCTAAGTTGATAATTTCAGACTTGTTCTCAGGTTGGGCGAGGCCCAAACCGAAGAAATGAATTTGGGTTTGGCCTGGACTGACTCTCATTCTGGCCCAACTACAGGTCCAACTGCATGATTTCTCTCTCCCTCTGTCTCTCTGGTTTCATAGCTTGATGGCCTGATGCTATGGTTGAAAACTTGAAATGGAGGGATATAATATATGGTCTTGCCGTGAAAAGACTAAGCAATCGCTGCGCACCACGTTGTGATTGCTTGGTATCTTCTCATGAAGAAGTTGAAAAAACTATAAAAGTATTGCCTCTGCCGGCTGCCGCGTAAATCAATCGCTGCGGCTCTGTGCAACCTCCTTGTAATTGCTTGGTATCTTCGCATGGAAAAAGTAACAATTTTTTCTAACAAACCATATACACAATCAACAAGCTAGTGCTCGGTGTTTGGTTTCTATGTGAAATTAACAAATAACGATAACCTTCATTCCAACCGCAAAACAACCAAGATTTGACTTAGCAACCACTCAAACCAGTCGTCCACCGGAGAGAATTGACGGAAGATTAATCGGAAGCCTTAGCCTTAGTAAATGCAGCGAGACCGGTCGATCGACAAAGCCATTCGACCTCGTAGATCCCGCCGCCGGCGGGGTTCAAGGGGAGAGGAGTACGGGAACGGGTTGAATCCTCTTGGTGGTCTATTTCTCTTCCTGGTGTTGGTCATTCTCATGGCAGTCACCTTGCTTCACCGTTTGGATTCTTGTCTGCTGAGATGATCTAGATTACAGTTTTAGGCTTTTGGGTTCTGCAACTGCAATGAAACATGAAAGAAAGCTTTTGTGGTTCTCACAATTCACATACTCGATCGACGATTCATGCATCTTGTAATTAATTCGTTTTGAGTTCTCTTCTTCCCATTTTTTCTCAGTCTATAGAAAACATTTGGATCAGTCTGAATCGGAATTGAAATACTTCCAATTAAAATCGAAATGGCCAATTTCCATAGTCTGTTTGGTTCAGACCAAAATCACAATGGTCGAATGGAAATTGGAATCCGCTGGAATGAGATTCAAATTCCGCCCAACCAAACGGTTGAAACCGGAATGACCCATTTCCATTCTAATTCCATGTCTTTATTCCTGGGAACCAAATGGGCCCTAAGTTGCTTTTTGTTGAGCTTTCTGAAAAGTGAAAACACATTTTTCTTCTTGCAATCAGTTGAGAAAATGCTCAAATTAAACGGTTTTTTTTGACGAAATACATAGAAAAACGCCATGTTCGCATCACCTCCACCAAATACGTTTTTCAAAGACACACGGGTGTTTCAATTTTCTAAAGTAGATGATTTCTAAAAACGGTTAATCGGTGAGGAAACGTTTTCGAGGAGTATTTGCTACGCCCATTGGGCCATGGACCCAGGCCCATCATGGGAATCTGATTATGCCATGATGGCCCATGGGCACCCGACGAGACGAACAAACGAGCGAAGTCTAGGGGTCGGACGATTGCTTCTTTTATCTTGATCATCTTCTACCGTCTGATCTCCCTAAGAAGTGATCTCGGCATTCTCTGATGCCAGATAGACGGTTTGTTCTCCTCGACACGTATCCTCGGTGAGTGACTGTGTTGAGATTCAAGAGAGTGTCGACGACGACGACTCGACGGTCGACAACGGCCACAGAACATTCGATACAGTTTTACTTTCTTATCGCATCCCCCTCTCGGTCAGGAGAAAGTAGAAACAAAAATAGAGGAAGAAGAAGAAGAAGAAGACGAAGAAGAAGAAGAAGAAGAGTCTCTCAATTAGTCACCATGGCTACTCACCTCAGAGGCCTAGAGAACATGTTTTAGCTCTAATCACAGATGTTGTACTGTTGATGATGGCTTCCATTCATCAATCGTCATGGGTTTTCACTCTCAAGGCCATTAATGGTGTTTCTTCTTCCAAAACCAACCTTTTTTCATCAGCAAACCTCAGGGCATATCCCTTAAGAACTCCTAAAATATCAGCGTCTCTGGAAGACTCCATTGAGGATACTTCACCGTCTAATTCAGCGGAAACAGGTTCTGGTGACCAATTGGGTTCTTCGGACCCAGTGAAGCTCGCTTTTTCTAGAGCCAAATCTTATAAAAAATCCTTAAAATCGAACCCGGGCCCCAAACAAAACCAAAACCCAGTTGCAGAATTGGTTGGAAATGTAAATGTGGATGGTAGGTCGGTTTCAGATGATATCGATGGTGGCACGAAGGAAGTTCCAGCTTCTGTTAAGCTTGCAATGGAGAAAGCTAGGGAATATAAGAAGAACAAAGGGATTTTGGGAATGGTGGGTGGTGACAAGAAGGCTAGGGAGGGGGAGAATGTAAGTGCTGGTTCGATTTCGGATGATGCTGATGGTGGCACGAAGGAAGTTCCAGCTTCTGTTAAGCTTGCAATGGAGAAAGCTAGAGAACATAAGAAGAACAAAGAGGTTTTGGGAATGGCGGGTGGTGATAAGAAGGCTGGGGAGAGGGAGAATGTAAGTACTGGTTCGATTTCAGATGATGCCGATGGTGGTTATGTAGATTCTGGTAACCTTTCAAATGATGCCGGTGGTGGCACGAAGGAAGTCCCGATTTCTGTCAAGCTTGCAATGGAGAAAGCTAGAGAATATAAGAACAAAGGAGTTACAACAACTGCGGATGGTAACAAGAACGTTGGGGAAAAGGATAGCAATCTAGGTAAGTAGGTAATCTTTTGAATTTGGAAAACCTTCACCTTTTTGTTTGAATTTGGTTTGATTTTTATGCAAGTAAATGTACTCTTGGAATGCTTGCTCCTATTTCTTTCTTTTTTATGAACATTGTAATTGAAATAGAAATAAAAAATTTGTGTAGAAATCTTTGGTTGAGGAGGAACTTTATAATATATTTTAAATGAGACATGTTGTTGCTGCAGAACTAGGAGTGAATTTTCTGTATGCTTTACATTCTAGGATTAGAGAAAACGAACGTGGGAAACTCAGGAGGCAAGTTTGTTGAGAAGAGGGTTACTAAGAAGGAAGAATTAACTATTTCCAGCATTGACTTTTTGGGTCTTGGCTTTTCGGATAAGAGGCAGAGCAAGGGGTTGCCAGCGGGTTTGGTTCCAGTAACAGACCCTTTTGCAGATGGGGATTTGCCTGAGGTGGAATTGATTGTTGGGGATGCTAGCAAGTTTGGAACTGCAACACCTGTGAAGCCAGAGCTTAATGAAGATGATTCAGATTTATACAAGCCCAAAGTTTCTACTTGGGGAGTCTTCCCGAGGCCAAGCAACATTTCAAAAACGGTATGGTGATAGTTGTCATATTCTTGATCATTCTCAAACAACATGATACTCTCCACTGATAATTGTAGATTTTAGTGATTCTTCCCATATTGTCATGGATTGATGTTGGGACTGCTTAATCCATATTTGGTTTGTTTGAGCAATCAATTATGTAAATGGAGATACAGTCAATGTTTGATCTCGTTTTTGATGCTAACTTGGCTCCATTAGCAACAAATTTACTGACCGAGTCCAATGCAATATACTTATATATCCATCGAAGGAAAATGTCCTATCATTCACTTGGCAATTTAAATAAAGTGTTTTTAGTCAATTTAATAGAAGAAATGAAAAGATGCAAAGAAAAATATATTGAAACTAAATAGAATCATTAAAAACTGAGCTTCAACTCAGTAGTAAATACACAGTTTTTGTTGGGATGCACGTATGAATTATGTGTTGTAAAAAGAGTTCCACATTGGAAAAAGAAAGGAAATGCAAAGGACTCAAGGATTGGCCCATAAGGCCCATAACCTAATGGCTTAAGCATTTGGATCATAAGTGGTGTCCAACTCTTGTGTGTATGTCCCATGCATGTGTACGTGTACGCAAGCTCCCTGGTTTTAGCATCTCCTCATGGTTGGCGACTCACATGGCACAACAGTTTTTGGAGTATTTTGGTCCCTCAGTCTATTATCTAGCACCAAATTATAGACTGTTTCTAGAGATCAATCTAGCAAAATGTGACTTATGCATGTCTGTGTAACTATTCTACATTATTTAGCTATAATAATTACATTATTTGTTATTATCTATAAAAATTACATTATTTGCTAGTAAGATTGTAGAGAGGTTTTACAGAAGGTTGGTATTTGTGCTTTTATTATGTACATAACCATTTATAACTGATTCTTTAGTATTAATTGCCCTCTCTTCTCTGTTTTTTAAGATCATAGATTGAACTTAAGGAAAGGAGAGAAGTAGAGAGAGAGAGAGAGAGAGAGAGAGAGAGAGAATGAGAGAGAAATATTTTCATAAATAAACAAGCCAATAAACTTTAATATGTCAAAACCACCATTTCTATATGCTGCTTTCTGTCCTGCTGATCTCCTACAACCTGCTTTTTCTATTGCATCCAGTATGGTGGTGGAAGGGTGATTCGCCCAGGGGAGGTGCTTGAAACAGAAGAAGACAGAGCTGCTAAGGAAGCACGGACTAGACAATTACTTGCTGCCTACAAGAATAAGATGGGCTTGACAATTGATGCTAAGCTAAAAGCTGAATGTGAGAAGGTATAGTTGTAACAGAACTCAACCTTTTTCTTTGTATCGTAATATCTGAATTATCTATGTTTCATTAAGTATCTTTTATTTCACATAGGCAGGCTATATAAGAAAATAACACTTATATACCATGTTAAATAGAAATTGTTTTAACAATTATTTTTGTTGTGTTTTGGATTAGTAAAGATAAGACTGTCTTAATTAAAGGAAAGGAGAAGAATATCAAGGGGTAAATCTCATTGAAAGAAAACTACAAAATATTGTTAAGGGTTAAAAAAATGCCATTTATGAAAAGTACAAATAACATTTACTCTACGTAATCTTATGAGTTGCTATATGAAAGATTTATACTCAAAAGAGTATGTTTAGAAGATGGATTAATGATTATGAGATTAATCAACTGATTAGAATTCTTTCTGGATTGATCAAGTTTTCATAGTTCCAGGATGTAGGAGTTTGGAAGGTCCCTGTGGTGTGTTCTATATCTGATCCTTTTTTACCTTACTAGCTAGGATAGAGGGAGAAGCTACTTTTCTTCATTTGGAACTCATATTGCCTCAAAAGTAGTTTTCTTTAATATATAGCATCCTTACACTTTACCACCTTATTCATTGCGACTTCCAACAACTTTTTTTCCATTTTTTACTTCTTTTTTTTTTTTTGGGTGTGGGATGGGATAGGAGAGAAGAGCAGGGGAATTAGTTAGCCATCTTCTTTCTCAGGCTTTTTGCACGTATCTGTATTATGCTCAGTTGGGACCGGTTTTAGAGGACATGTGAGGCCTACACCTTAGGCTTTCACTGTGAGAAATGGTAAATCCCAATGAAAATTCCCTTAGTCTTTAATCTTAAGTCTCATTCCTGAAAATATGGGGCATATGATTCGTACCTTGAGATGTCTTATGCTAATAACATGCATTTTGTAGATTAGCCAGGTTCTCATTTCAAAACTGAGTTAATGATCAATTTTAAGTTCTAAATATATGTTTATATTAACACTGTTTGTTATGCTCAGTATATTTAGCGATTTAAACCCATTTAAGTAGTAATCCCCCCTCCATGCTCAGATTCAGAGATATGCTAAAATAATGGATGACATGACAAAATGTCTTCTGCTCTCTAGATTCAACATGGTTTGAGCAATGAAGTACAGAGATATTCATGAATTCTTTTCCATGCCATGTTTTTTTGCCACCTCAATCCAAAGACAACCTTATATATTCATCAATAGAATTTATATATGCTACATTGAGATGTTTAGAGCATATATTTAAATGTATTATTTTTTTTAATTCATATATTCTTGTATTATTTTATTTGAATAATTACAAAATAATAATTAAATCTTGAACATAGGGCCATGGGCCTATCAGTTTGGTTATTCCATAGAACTATGGCTTGTAATTGGACAATTTGGATGGGTACTAATGTGAACTATGGCTTATACTTTTTCTCAGAAACAACTTCTTCTTCTGTTTTTTTTTTTTTTTTTTTTTTGATGAGGAACAAAAAAATATTGATTAAGGTGTTTAAATATAAGATATGCAAAGCTTGTAAAGTTGTTGTAGCTTTACACCCAAAATGACATTCCAGTTAAACACAAAATAGCTTTACACCCAATCCATGAAGAAACTGTTGCATTAGCACACAACTGTTCTAATTATGGATGCTCATTGTTACAGTATATTAAATATTTTTCTCTTTATTTATCTCATGTGTTGTACCAATTTGTAAAAGTATCTTGCTTTGCAATAAAACGTTTTCAAAATTTGGTAAACCAAATATTTTTTATAGTGTGTAATTTACAGGCAATTTGTCCATGTAAGTATTCTTTGAATGTCTAAAATGTATTATATGGTTCATGGTGTTTTTAAGTGTCTATGTAATATTAAGATGCATGAATCATGGTGTAATTCGTGTCCAAGAATTATAATACAAGTTTTCTTGATGCAGTAATTACTTTATGATATTGTAGGCTTTGAAAGATGGTGACTACTTCATGGATCTTGGGAAGCTTAAAGAGGCATTGCCTTATTATGAAAAAGTAATGAAGGAATTGGCCTTTCAGGTAATTTATTTCATGATATGGCTGTCTTCAGCTGTAGATGGCCCATGGCCACTTCAGTTTGTAATTAGAGCTAAGGCTTTGGCTCCCTCCTTGGATAGCTCATTCAGGTGGACCCTTGGATCAGCTAACCCTTTGCTCATGCACTATCCAGAAATGGTGTTGGAAGGCCATAACTTGTACAGAGTAACCTGGCCAAGAGGTTGAGCAGTAAATCTGGTTTTATGCCTTTATTAGTTTTTGTTTTCCTCAGAATAGTGTTGTTTTATTTATTTCTGTGTTTTTTCCATCACTAGCTCCAAATGACAAGGGTTTCACTTTTTATTGTTTCTTATTAAAAAGTAAAAAGGCCACCTTTCCCAAGACCCCAGATAGCTAGGACCAGCATTGGATAATGGCGTATTAGTCCCCTCTACATAAGTATTAGCCTGCAGGCTATTTACCTATTCATCCTTCTTGATAAAGGTGTGTTTCAAAAGAAGGAAGATAAAGGATGATGGAATATGGATATAATAGTAGCATGTTTCTTTGTGAAATTGCAATTAATAAGTAATTATTGTGTAGGATGTAGGGTTCTTTAGCAATTTGTAAATTCTTTAATTAGTTTCTATCATTGAATAGGAATCTGGATCTTAGGCTTAATTCTTTTCTTGGTTGTTATGCTAGAGAAGGATATATTTAGGTTTCTACATATAAAGTACTCTTCTTCTGAAATTAAATGTTATTATTTCTTGGAGTTGAATAGCTCCTTCCTTTGCATGTCAAGGCATGTGGTTGATAATTACTGGTTTATAATGAATCAACTGTCGCTGATTACTTGATCCTAATTTGACAATTTTGTTGCATTTATTGCACCACCATTGGACTTTTAGTCATTGTGATTATACGTGACGATTCAACCACTTACTATTTCATTTACACATTGGCCATTATGAGGTTATGCTAAACCACTCACGCATTTACTTAACTACATTATCTACATTCTACATACAGACTAAATGCATATATACAAATACTTCCCTCATATCATGTATTTATGCCCTCTTGTTAAACTAGCTAGATAAATAAAATTACACTTCTGAAAATATAATGTTTCAACTGAAAATTCATGATATATGTCAGTGTAAGGTTCTCATTACTGGATACATATTATGTACTAAAAGTTCTTAATAATAGCAAGCAAATGGAGTCTAATAAGTCTTCAAATATCTTACTACCAAAAATAAATATAAATGTAGTAGTATTTTATTTTTCCATTGTTGTAACATGGTGCTTACCATGTATTCATGTTTTAGTAGCAAGTGCTTTTTTTTTTTTTATAAAGGTGAACCAATTTTTATATGGAAGTAAATCTTTATGATAATCATAGAAATTATCATGTGTTTGTCTAAAGGTGGACTACTCTTACATGATTACATCCACTGCCAATAAGTGCCTCCTCCAGATTGTTTTCCTTTCTGTTCTTTGATTGGAGAAAATCTGTATGATTATTTGGGACTTGTATTTCAAGGTGACATTGGATAATTATTAATATGGTGCTGAGTGTCTAATTTCTTGTTTTCAGTCTCACGGTATTTTAATATTGCCATTATCTGTTTTGTTTCATTTTTCTTATTTCTAATTTTATAGGGGTGTTGTTTGTCACAAAATCACACCCTGGTTTCATCAGCTTCATTGCACTTTAGGAATTGCTCCTTGAGCATAAAGGTATATCTGGTTTAATGTCGTAAAAAAAGAATGTATTGTTTGCAGAATGAACTTCATGGATTAGCTGCTTTGCAGTGGTCTATTTGTCAAGATTCACTTAGCAGGTATACTTCCTGAGGTTTTCTCTTGGCTGTGAACTTGTTGAGATTTAATTTGAGTTGTTATTTGTTTCTTTCCTAACAAAGGTAAAAGTTAAGTGCCTAGAATCTATGGTCTATGGAATGGACACAGTACTGGACATGGCAAGCACCTAAAATCTAGGATTATGGATACTAAATAGATATGCATAGACGCATTTATGTCTGTAAGTCTAAATGCTTATACGTACTTATGTTATTTGGATGTTACCAAATCCAAAACAGAAATCAATATATCTGCTATCATGATTCAAACTTGAGAAAACAGATTTTGTGTACATAGATATGCATAGACACATTTATGTCTGTATGTCTAAATGCATATATGTGCTTATGTGTTTTGGATGTTACCATATCGAAAGCAGAAATTAATATATCTGCTATCATGATTTACATTGGAGAAAACACCTATTTTGTGTACATTTTAGAAGTTAAATTAGAATGCACATTTATATGTCCAATACTTGCTGACATGAGTATCATGTTGATATGTTGACATGTGTACTACATGCCAGAGAAATCTGATCAATCTAGGGGGTCTCAGATTGGATTTGGATTCAATCTGAGTCTGCTTAATGAATACATGTGTTCTTTAGAGCCTACATGCGGATCTAATTAGATTTCTTATCTATGGTGATGTGCCCAAATGAGACCCTACATGGTTTACAAAGTGCTAAGATTGGTGGCCTTCCAAAACATTCATAGATCTAAGTTGAGAAGTGTTGTCCATTTGTTGCCAAGACATAATACCAAGGTTAGGCAATTGGCCTCCTAGACAACATCAAAGCATCACCTAGGCATCAGGTGAGCAGTATAGGTGATTAGGTGTAAATATTTTAGTTGGGATGACCAAATGAGAAACATGTTATACTCCCTTTATATATTGATATATCTGCAAAATCCATTCTGGCTCAATGAAAGTTTATTTAGAGCCAAAAATTTTGGTTCTTAATCCATGTGCGTGTACATGTTTTTCTTTGAACTGGGAAGGTTACCCAAAAATAACATGTCATTTTTCTGATAACTTGGGTGAAAGTTGTCATCTAATCATTTGATAAGTTAGGGCAGTCCACGGAGTCCAAAACTCCAATACCTGATCTGATGTCAGATCTGATTATTTAGGATCTGATGATCCATTTACATAATTGGGTTGTATTCAGATATTGGAACTTGCATCTGTTTAGTAATTGGACAGAATGCAGATTTGACCACATCAAATCCGATTATGAACTGAGTCCAATTATGTTTTATAATATACATATCATATAAATTTTATTTGCATTAATCGTAGGTGAATTGAATAAACATATTCAGGGGGGGCCCCTGGTGCATGTTGAAATCTGGAAAATATTCAATATTTTAAGAAATGTTTGGAAAATATTTCTTACACTTTTGGAAACACTGAAATCTTTGGAAAATATTCAATATTTTAAGAAATGACAAAAGAAGCACAAATACGCACTTCTAAGTTATAATGTTAATATGTTATTATCAAGTATCATACAGAAACAAGGAATGTAAAGTCATCATCATCATCTAAGCCTTGTCCCAACCGTATGGGATTGGCAAAAACAAGAAATTAAAGTAAATAACTCAAAAGTGTGTGCCGTTGGAGTTCCCTATAGTCTTTTAGGGTCAAAGTTATAACTTCATGTCAAAATTAGAAGTGCATAATCTTGATAACAATTATGTAAATCCATGACACTAAATTAAGTGATGCATGGTTATTTGTAGAATAAAAATGATGGTATATTATGCACCAATGGAAATAAAACTGCTAATATTCAAATTTCTATATTATAGTCACTTTTTAATCTCTTCCTTTTTATTATTCTTTTTGAAAGAAATTGATTTTAGTGAAGTTATGTAATCAGTTTTGACCAAAATAATATGATATTGGACCACTGTTTTGAAACATTAAAACTTAAAGTTTCAATATATAGGACTTGAAACTTGAACGTAAAATGTGGCAGTTGACATTTCTGACATATTTTGATTTTTGAAACCTTGGAGGTCAGCAGGGAGATGAAAAATAGTGATCTGGTTACTAATCCAAAAAAAATCAAAGTGACCTGGATACCAACAAATAGCAGTGTACTCACAGGGCTCTTGGCAGCTGTAGGCTCTCACGACTGTCATGGGAGAGTTGTGTTGTTTATATGGATATTATCTTCTTAAAGAACGTCTTAATGAATACCAATAGAAAAATGAACATCTTCAATGAAATAAAAATTGGGGTAAATTACAGATTACCACCCTGTACTATGGAGGTAGTGACACTTAGTCCCCCAAACTTTCATTTGTGACAAAGACCCCCTGGACTTTCAGATTCCAAAACTTTGCCCCCTCCGTTATCATTCTGTCAGTTAACTTTTGAAAAAGATTCTCATGTGACTGTTAGATATATGTATAAGCCCTTTAGTTATGTTTATTTCTTCTTCTTTGTTGCTGCTAGACCTGTTCATGGGCTGGGCTTAGGTTTAGCTTTTGACAAAATTTAAATGTGTCTGGTCTGAAGCCTGAGCTTAAAGCAGTGCAAAATGTTCATGGACCGAGCCCGAAGCCCAACCTGTGAACAGGTCTAGTTGCCATGGTTTTGTTTGGTTAGAGCTTAGAAACAAAGTGGGCAATCAAGAGATAATGTTCTTTTTCCTGTCCGTTTTCATTATTCTGAAATGTCATCCTCTTGTGCATACAAATCTCAAAAGGGGCATTTTAGTAAATTAACTTCCTCTGTCAATCCAGTTAACGGGGAGGGGGCAAAGTGTTGGAATCTGAAAGTTCAGGGGGGCTAAGTGTTACTATCAATACAGGGTGTTAAATCTGTATTTTACCCAAAAAATTAATAGTTAGAATCATCGTCATCTAAGCCTTGTCCTAACAATGAGGTTGGATACTAATAGTTACAAGTTTCAATAAAATAAAAATCAATAGTCAAGAAGAGGCAAGCTATATGCTGAAAAAAAAAGAAAAAGAAGAGGCGAGTTATGTCTGCTTGAACTCAAGCCTTAACATTGAGGTAACTCAGCTGTCTGCACTGATGCATCATCAGATCCTAATAGCATGCCATTTCTGTCAACTCCTTTATGATGAGCTGATTACTCATGATTTGGAGTCCCAACTACTGATCTCTGAGAGAGCTACATGCAATTTATGGATCAAAATATAATAAAGCATCGTTTCTTACTTGACTAGTCCTATCCTATAGGGATGGCATCTTAATGTTATGACCAGTCCTATCCTATAGGGTATTAAGAAGGCTTATGAGGATTATTCTCCTCTGATTGGATTGGTGGTAAAAGATCTAAGATAAGATTCTGAGAAGATAATTGGAGGGATGACATCTTAATTTCTCTCTGTCTAAGGCTCTATAGGCTACCCCTTCAAGTGGGAAAGAACATCTCGGAATTCTTCTCTTTGCAAAAGATCTCATCGGCCTTGAATTTCTCTTTCATTATCCACTTCTATATCTGACTGTTTTTTTTTTCAGAACTTCTTGATGGTGTGCTTCATTCAAATGTAAGTGACTAAATTTGGTGAAGTAAGATTACAAGGAAAATTTTTAACTTGCTCATATTATGTTGCTCTTGCAAGAAGAGTTGCAGATATTGCATATGTAAGTTCTATTTGGGATAGCCATGTTCCTTGGTAGAAGCCTTATGCAGTTGGTTTTCTTAGATAAACCCTCACCATAGATGCCCAGAACCATAGAGGAATGTAGATTCAAAATACGTGTCATGGTGTAAATCTGCTTAGGACACAGTGAACAATCTTTTACCGTTTTGCCTAGGTACTTCTTTTCTTTGGGAATTTTTCCATTCTACTTTTTAGATGTCTTGGGTGCTTCCTCCCTAAGTGAAAGGCTTAATTTTAGCTTAGCCTTCTCTTTTGGTAGGGAGGAAAGGGAGATATTCTCTGACCTACGGTTCCTTTTGCCATTTGTTGGATCATATGGAAAGAAAGAAAGCATAGATGGATTTTTGAAAGCTGAGAGAAGTGTGGATGCTGTTAACTTCTAAATGTTTTGGCCATGGCTCCAGGAGAGTTCAAGTAGGTCAAGTGTATAGGTTTTGTCTATAAGTGGTATATGAAATATGGTTTTAGGTGTAGAGAACGGTAATACTGTAATGGGCCATTGATTGGTGTAATGGTAAATCTTGGGCTGGCATGTGTTCTCCAGGTTCAACTCTGAGAGAAGCTACTTTGTGCCAAAAACAAATGCCAAAGGTTAGGTCTGTATCCAGTCTACTCCTCCCCCCCTTCCCCAAGACCCTAGATAGCTGGGACCAACATTGGGTAATGGGTGGTATACTGTAAAAGTGGCATGCAGTTCTTGATCTTTTTGTTCATCTTTATTGTTAAACATTAATAAAATCTTTTTTATTACTAAAAAATGTTTAACCTGTACAATCTGTTAATTTACATGTGAGTTCATTTTCTCATCATCTAAATTCATTTTGAAATATTGTCTGATTATCATTTCAGTAGTTAATAATTGTCACTGTAGCAACAAGAAAGTGGTGATGTATTCTATTATGGAAATATCATCAATTAATTGGAATTTCACCAGGCCAAATGAGGCTAGGGTTATGTATGAGAAGCTCCAGTCTCACCCAAATGTGCAAGTAAGCAAGAAGGCAAGACAGTTCATGTTTGGTTTCCAGGTATGTATCATTTGTTTTGTTTTTATTTTCTTGATAAGTATCAATAATTATCTAAAGTTGGATCTCATTTTTTCACTATTTTTATTGTTTACATCATTTTCATGTTTATATTTTAGCCCTTTAATTGGCATTGCACTTTTGTAGTGGCTGATGTGATTTAGAACTTCATTTACTTCAGGCCATGGAAATGATGAAGGTCACAAGTTCATTTCTCTCCCTAAAGGCAACGGGCTACCAAGATTATTTTGAAGCATTTATAGAAGACAAAACCAATTACACTCCAACAGAAAATGAAGATGAAGGTGCACTAACTCAAGCCCTTCCATATATTATTTTTCTTGTTTCTCCCATTTTTCTCATACTACTTGTAGCTTTACAAAGAGGTACTTGATATTGAAAATTAGAAACCTGCAAGATCTTATTCTTATTAATCACTTATTGTCCTCTGGAGTGTAGTGGTCCAAGTAATTTTGTTCACAATTTATTATTTCTGAATACACATTTGCATATTTACTATTAGAAGCTTCTCCAAGAATACTGCAAATCTGACTGACATGAGAACAGCAGTCACCATGGCATATTGCAATAGAAGCTGGTATTTATCATGGAATATGCAATGCACATACATGTCATGATGCATAATGCTGGTAAAAATTGTTTTTTAGTGTCGAAAGATACAATATCAATTCAATAAGGTTTTCCACATGAGATCTCATTTCTTACAACCAAGGTTCGAAGTATCGATAGTATCATACTATACAATACGATATGTATTTGTTTTTGACCTTGCCGATATATTAAATACGAGAAATTAGGGAGTTAGCTCAATTTCGTATGTTAATATCATTGCTAAGTATCTATTTGCGGAATAGGTTGTCATGTGCAAGTGTATCAATGCTTTGAATGCCTTGATACATGAAAGAAATTAGTATGAACTGTGTCGATACTTTGAACCATGCTTACAACAGATTGAAAGAAGACAATGAAAACATGCCTGATCTATGTTTGCATAAATCACTGGTAAAATCACCCGGAATGACATGCTGTTCTATACAAATTTCTGTAAGTTGAAATCATTCTTTACCAGTATATCTTGAGCAATTTCCAACTAATGATTATTGATAAGGTATCTAAAGAGTGTATATACTCTTATCTCACTGCACAGAATTATAGTTAAAGAGATGCGCAATGGGTCATTGCAGAAATCTAGCTATAGAAACATCTGAATCAGATGATGCAAATAAAATTCCTCGAGGCCTTCAGTGACAGAAATAACTAGTGCTGAAAGAATTGCTTCGTATTGTTTCAAATTTCAACATCAAGAATTAATATCTGTAGGATCTATTCAATCACAAGAGAACAGTCAACTGTGGCTCTCCTTCATTTTTTCCAACGCTCTCTTAAACTTATCCTGACCTTTTGATACCGTCAAAGACCTGCAAGATACATTTATAACGTATATAATCTTCTGTCAAGTTAACGTTAGTTGCCATAGAAGTGGTCTATATGCACCATTATTACACAAACCTGTTAGAAAAAGCGATCAGTTACAAGGGGCTAGAAGAGCTAGGGCGGACTGAAAAGGACATGGGTAGAACCGTAGAAGTGATAAGAAATGATTTAAGCGGTCATAATTTAATTTAATGATGGATATGGCAGAATGGTGAAACAATATTCATGTAGCTGACCTCATATAGTTGGGACAGGGCTTAGATGATGATGAATGACAACACCTGACTGACCAGTCTACCATGTTAACTACTTTTCATATAATAATGATAGGTTTATTTCTCTCCCGTACTTCATCCCTTAGGCTATGTTTGGTTTCATATAATGATGATAGGTTTGTTTCTCTCCTGTACTTCATCCCTTAGGCTATGTTTGGTTTCATATAATAATGATAGGTTTGTTTTTCTCCCGTTCTTCATCTCTTAGGCTATGTTTGGTTTGAAGGAAAAAGTAGAGAAAGGAAGGGGAAGGTAGAGAAACCTATACAAGGTTTGTAAAGTTTTTTTTTACCTTTTCCTACTTTTTCCTTAAAACCAAACACAGCCTTATTTTATATTCATTCATAACTTACCAACTGTTCATTTCAAGTGAATGGATAGGCCTATTGATTTTGGTTCAGAGTTCAATAGATGTTATCCATTAAGGGTAAATGTTATAGATGTGTCACTGTAATATTATAGATGTTATCCATTCATAACTTACCTGTGTCACTGTAATAATATAGATGTTATCCATTAAGGGTAAATGTTTGAAAGGGGGTCTCTGGAGGCATTGTAAAATAAAGATAAGTTTATCTGTTTATGAGTTAGAAAAATTAAAGGTTGGTTTCAGATTTTCCCTAACTCTTAATATCAAGATTTCTTTTATTTATTATTTATTTTTCTTTTAGGGGAGGGGGGAAGATATAACTTTCTCAGCCTAAAAGAACCAAAATACAACTAGAAAATCATTAGACAATGCCATTGAACAAAATTAGAAGAATTGTTCTACTTTGTTAAAAGGAATTCCAATCCAATTGTCATGCATGATTTTTCTTATGTTGAGTCAAACGACATTATGTTGTATTTTTTTTATTCTTTTTTGGGATAAGTTGGCTGCACTTCACCTCAGAATTCTGAATTTAACAATTCAAAATTACAAACACCTCCACCTATAAGGCTATAACACTCATACCTGCCCATGAATTGGCATCAATTCCGAGTTAGCACCTACCCCAACTGTATGATGGAGTTAAGATTTCTAGGGGTGGACTGAACAGTAACCGCCCCCCCCCCCCCTCTTTTTTTTTTTTTAAGAAGAAGATTCTTTAAGGTGTAGACTGAATTTAGATCTAACCTCCAATACAAAGTGGACAATTTCAGACTCAAACCCATGTTCTCAGTCTTGTCAACGTAAGATTTTTCCATGGCTCTTACCATCTCTGCTTGATGTATTTTCAGGCAAATCATCCTTTAGGTTAAAGGAAGGAAAAGATATGAAAACCTATACAAGGTTTGTAAAGGTTTCCTTACCTTTCCTTTCCTTTTCCTATTTTTTCCTTCAAACCAAACGCAACCTTATGGTTTGGAATTAAAATATGCACTGTTTGGTTTATTAGATCGGAATTTCTGAATCTGCAGCCTCAGAAATTAAGATCCAAACAAATGATGGCCCAAGAACCTTGTGTAAGAAATTAAGATGGCCCAAGAAATTAAGGAGTTGTTTGGATCTTATACAGTGGTTTTTATCCATTGAGGAGTTGTATCACAACACCAAATGATGGCCCAAGAAATTAAGGCTCCATACATCCCCTAATATACACCTTTCGATCTTGGATCGAGTTCTTAGGCGGATGGACCAATAATTGAGATGGTCACTCCATGATTAAATTTGTTTAACTGTAAGTTCTTCATGGTAAGGTCAGTGGACTTCGCGGGCACCTTGCTCTTACTCCAGCAAAACATTGCAGCCGCACATTAGGACATACAAGTATGGAAGATGTTCCTGATGTACAACCACAATACCTTATGAGTAGGTAAAGAAACCAAGTCTTTTACTCTTTTCCCACTTCTTAATCTCCCTGTAATGTGTAATATGTAATACCAAAAAAGATGTAATACCAAAAAAGAGAATCAATTTCTTAGTGTCGGTGAGTTGGGCAAAGAAAAAAATATCAGACACCCAGGCGAGATTTCCGCACCTTTTGTATCGCATACATGAAGTACGAATCTTGAGTCCTTGCGTCCTTTTCTCTTTCTGATTATAATGGAGAAAAGCTTCCACCATAATCAGTTCTTTTAATGGGACTGGATTAATTGTGGTTAGAAATGAATTTGGTGAGAAACCTGGTTTCTTTTGACTGTTCTGAGGCCATCTGTTTGAGTTAGGTGCTCATGAATCTCTACCATTCAGATGTCGGTTCTCGACCCCCTGAAATTTCACTGCCTAAGCCTAACTACTTGATCATGAGAGCCATGAGGCCCATGACATTATACAATGTTCGATGGTCTTGGTCATTGGGCAGCATCTGTATATGGTTTTTAAATAGAAGTCTATGTGGGAGTTGAACTAATTAAATGGTTGGTTTGCTGTCTATTTTATATATTCATTTAAAGTATTGCTTTCTTTCGAGGGGAAAAGCTTAGAATAATAGGCTGTTAAAGCACTCAAACCAAAAGTAAAATATGTGGAGATGGGAATTCAATTGTGGATTGAATAATATATTCACAATGAAGATTTTGGCATTATTGGCCATTACAAACATTTTTTTTTTATTATTTTTGCAAAGACCTCCACGTGGTGTGGCTCAATGTCAAATGACTGTCATTTGTGTCACCAACTGAGGATGCAAGAAACAAAATCCCTTTCATATCAACCTCACTTATTAAGACTGTTTGGCAAGCTGTCAGATGAATTAAGTCTGATGAATTTGATGATTCTAAGAACTACTTTTTAAGTTTGGATTTGTGAAATTGTTGATTCTTTGATATTAAAAGTTTTAACTAGAAAAAGAATCATTTTTTGGCTTAGTGGTCATTCAAATTTTGAGCAAACATAGCCTGAAACTCTAGAGGAAGCTGCTTCAATGTTCTGTAACAAAAGGATGACCTTATTTCTAACCCTGGTGAAGAACCCAGGTCCTAGTAGAGTTTTCTTTTTTTATTTTTATTTTTTATTTTGAAGCTTTATGAGTTTAGGGAGGAAAAGTTAAAAGAAATCCAGTTTTTTAAATGCCTTCACATAGCTTGAATATCATGCATGGTAGCTGTCCATCTTACACTCGGATCAGAACAACTATACATCAGCACTCATGTTATTGCTCACAGAGGCAACAAAATGGACATCAGATCACGTCAGTGCTGTTGTCTTAATTCCAAAGAAAAGCAGTATTGACGTCACACAAATGATCCAACTTTATCATTCAGCTCAGGGCCTACTTATTTTCCTTCCACACAGGAACCTTGTGTAAGAAATAAGAAACTTCCTACAGTTGCCGCTTTGATATATAGAGCTTATGGTTGGATCTTGATCTGAAACCTACAAGGCTAAACGGAATTCGATCTAATTTGAGAGTTAGTGACAAAGTGCATGTGTAAAAGGGAAGGGGCATTACTTGGTTCATTTGTAAAATCTTGGGTTGACAAGGTCTTGGGAAGGGTTGGCATTTAGTCCACCCTTCACAACACCTTAGATGGCCTAGCATAGGCATTCAATAATATCTTATGAATTTAACTAAACAAGACAAACAATTTCGGTAATATTTTTGATACATATGTTTACAGTGTTTTTTTTTTTTAATGAAATATATATTAAAACAAACTTTGAAAAAAACCTAAAAAAAATATTAAAAAGCGCATGATTTTAAGTACCGATACATCTGTCGATACACAATTACACAGACATGTATTGATACTTTGTAGAATATAGTTGACCACCTTGAATTTACGACCGTGGTAATACTTACTTCTGCTGACTTTGTTTTGTGAGAAAGACCCCATAAAACTTTTAAATTCCAGCACTTTGCCCCTTGA